TGATTTGAAGGTGTGATCTTCAGCAAATTAATAGCAGGTTTAAAATTTATCGTCTTTTTTTTTTCTTAATTTTTTTTTTTTTACTTCTGAAAAATAAAGCCGAAATGCAATTGGTGCAGCTTAATGCTGTTAGAATTGTCAAGGTAAAAAGGTCTATGCAATGATTTACCAATATTGCTTAATCTAATACCTTAATCAAATTTATAACTGCCTAAGTAACAAAGGCGACAACGACAATGGTAAAAGGAGAAAGAAAGGTTGACACAACGAAAGTCAACGGAAAAAAATGAATTTTTACATTTATTTGCCACAAGTTATTGTTGTAATGCTTTTTTTTTTCGCTGCATTCGTTGATTCTTAATTTTATTTATCAAAATTTTATTCTTTTTAATTTTTTTCTCTTGTTATTTGTTTATTTTTTGTTTTTATTTTGGCTGTTTAGTGTACCAAGTAGGCAATATTGCCGGCAAGGTTGACGAGTTAGTCAGTTAGTCACTCACTCAGTTAGTCAGTGGCTGCTATGGAATGTTTTTTCTGTTTTTCTCAAAGCTATCTGAATGCAAATCAACGGTGTAAATTTTTGACTTATTCTGAAGATTATTAGTGAAATTTGTAGTTGCTGCTATTGCTGTTGCTTCTGTTCTTTTTCTATCTGTTTCTTTTCTTCCCGTTTTTTTTCTTTTTTTCTTCGTCTTTTAATGGTCAGAAAACAGTAATGATAAAGTTTTAAGCTGCAAATCTGCTTTTTTTTTCTCAACGGATTAACGCATAATTTATTTGTTTTGTTATGTATCTCATATTTATTTGTTGTTTGTGGTTTTTTTTTCTTTTGTTTTAGATAAGAGTTGTTGATTTTTCAGATTTGTTGCTTCTTTTGTTTTACTTCTCCACTTTTCCTTCCCTCTCTCTTGTTCTTTTCAATTTTCTTCCATCTAAAATATTAAGAAGTAACGTTAAAATAAAATAGATTATTAGAGTAGAGTAACAACAACAACAGCAGAAAAAAAAAAAA